GTCCCGCGGACGCGCCCCTGACCGCGGCAGGTCGGGCACTTGTCCCCGCCGGCCCAGGCCCCGGGCGCCCTCCTGCTCCCTCCGGACCCGTGCCCAGCGCGCTAGCTGCCGGGCCCTGCGCGCGTGCGGCTTTGCTACCGGCTGTCCGTGGACGTGAGGAACTGTTTCCGCCCCTCCCGGCGCCGCTGCCCTCCCGGGCTGCAGGCGCACAGGTGTGTTTCCTGCCAGAAGCGAGTTGCCGGCCTCCCCCCGCCGCCACGGCAGAGCCTGGACTGGAACCCAGGTCTTCGGCTTCTGTGCCTGCTCCTCTAGACGGCAGCCCTCTGGCCGCCACACGAAAGGGGCTGTCAGCCCTTCCCGAAGCACTTTTCTCTAGAAGCCTGGAAGGAGATTCCTTGACGGGAGGGGGAGGACTCGGGGGCGGGGGGGGCGGGCAGCTTGGGGTGGAGAAGAGCTGTCCCCTGCGGGCAGTGAGGTTAGAGCCGGCGCTCTGGGCGCGCGGGACGGACCCCGGCGCAGCCTCGCCGGCTGTGCGCCCCGGGCCGAGCGGCTCCGGCTCTGCGCTCAGTTTCCTGACCTGTAACCGGGCGTGGACAATGGCAGCGGGGCGGCGGGACTGAACGTGTGGGCGGTGCCCGGCCCGGGGGAGGGTCAGTGAGTTATTGCGGCCCCTACTGCAGCCGGAGTCCTACGTCCTTCTTCTCTGAGCCGCACGGCCGAGAGGGGGTCCCGGACCCCTGGGGCTGGCCCTCGTCTCTGGGCCTGTCTAGCCCCAGCTCCTTCTGACTTTCCTCTCCGAGGGCTCGTGGCCTCGTTCTCGGGCGGTGTAAGGATGTCAGAGCTGGCGATTCTCAGGGGTGGAAAGCACGAGGGGCTTCTCCCTCCTGGCTCCCTATTTCCTCTTTCAGATCTGCCTTCTGGAGACCGCACCCGTCCTCGCAGAAGAGCCCAGAAAGAAGACATGGCTCTTGGACCGAGGGAAGCAAGGTCTCGAGTGAGTTCATTGCCATCTCGGGTCTTACAGATAGAGAGAGAGATCGATCGATTGATTGATGGGTTGGTTGATATACTTACTCGCTTACTTACCCTACCCTTAAACTGAAGTTCTCTACTCAATACAGTTTTCTCCAGGATTTGGAGCCCTAGCCCTTTTCTCCTTGAAGAGTCGATCCACCCAGGTGGAGGGTGGATTCTGTAGGCAATGTTTGCCTCCTCCCTGCCAATCCATGTCTAGTGTTTCTCTCTTCTTTTTCTAACAGATGCTTCTTTTTATTCATGAATCTCAATTCAGTGTATGATTACTAACTTGACAGGTAAGGTGCCACATGGGGATGGAACAAAGAAACACGCACACTTGGCAGTTCCTTTCTGGCCCTGCTTCCTTGGCTCGCCCTGGTCTCTCTCCCTACCCTTGGCTTTTCCTTAGGATACCTTCCCTAGACTTCTCCAAGCCACCATTGTTAGGTTTTTCTCCCTCTTTACTTTGTGGACCACGTGCCTTGTTTCTATACTCTCTTGAGAACTGTTCTTGACCTGCCATTTTCATCCTTCTGTCGTTGGAAATGGTCCAGGTGAGCCAGTGCATGAACAAGGAGTAGCCCTGTTGGAGGGGACACAGTTGGAGAGATCTCTGGACTGAAGGGCAGAGAGAAGACTCCCCAGGAAGGAGCAGGGAGGGTTTTGTGGGATATCAGGAGTGGAGAGGCAGGGTCTCCAGTGGGTAAGAAGCGGGGCTTGAAGCCAGACTGCCGGGCTTGAACCCATCTCCTCGGTTGTTTGTGGGCCTTGGACAAATAGCTCCATCTCTCTATGCCCGTTTCCTCATCTGGACAATGGGAATAACAAGCGTGCCGACCTCATGGGGTAGGTGGCAGGGTCAGGTGAGTTAGTGCATGGAAAGTGTTTAGATCAGGGCTGGGCACTAGCAGATGCCCAACATGGGGTGGTTGTGGGAGCCGGATGATGTTACTGTAGTAATAATACCACTCATGCCGACAGATGGGAACGGCTGTACCGTGCTGCTAGGACTTGTCCTTTCATTGCTCATCTTCATCTGACAGTAACAGTTAATGCTGCTGGGGGTCGGCCCGAGGGCTTGGCCTTTGTTCTCACTCTCAGGCCAGCGCAGCAGTGATCATCCCCGTGTTACACATGCGCAAACTGAAGCTCAGAGACGTCCAGTAACCTGAATTCCAACCCCAGTGTGTCTGGCTTCTGGGTCCAGGCTCGTCACTGCCCAGCCATTCCCCTGGTGCCTCTTTCAGAACCCGGGGCAGCCCCAGCCCCGTGTTCCCAGAGCTCTTCTCCGCTGTCATGTCCTTGGGCCCATGAATCGCGGTGGTGGTTGATCTTCGGGCTGGGGCCGGCCAGTGCATATCTGGGCTGCTTTTTTCTAAAGCTTTCCTCTTCCATTCCCACAGAGCCACGCTGCTCTCGTGCCCAGAATCTTCTCCATCCCTGCAGAGGAGCTAATGCATGCGGCATTCTCCCTAACCTCACCTGCTCCCCCATGTCCATACTGCATGGGCTTGCGTGTAAAGCTCAGTGACAGGCGTTTAAGACCAGAGAGAGAATATACTGAGTGCTGGGTTAACAGAAAACTTTAATCATTGTCCTGCCTCTGCCACTGATAAAGTATGTGACCCGGGGTCTTGGCTGCTCTGGACCTTCTCCTCCTCATCTCTGAAGTGAGGATTGAGCCGGGACATGGTGTATGGCCCTGTCCAGCTACACATTTTTCTTTCATTGATCCAATTATTTTGTGTGTTAATCTTGTCTGCCAGCTGGATTGTAAATTCTTTGAGAGCAAAAATTATTTCTTATATTCCTCCCCAATATGTAAATAATTTACTGTTTTTCTTACCAGAAAGATATTGTAGGGGCACCTGGGTGGCTCAG